TATACACCTGAACATCAGCTGGAGAGGACTCTTTAAGTAGAGACACTACATACTGATATACACCTGAACATCAGCAGGAGAGGACTCTTTAAAGTAGAGACACTACATACTGATATACACCTGAACATCTGCAGGAGAGAACTCTTTAAAGTAGAGACACTACATACTGATATACACCTGAACATCAGCAGGAGAGGACTCTTTAAAGTAGAGACACTACATACTGATATACACCTGAACATCAGCAGGAGAGAACTCTTTAAAGTAGAGACACTACATACTGATATACACCTGAACATCAGCAGGAGAGGACTCTTTAAAGTAGAGACACTACATACTGATATACACCTGAACATCAGCAGGAGAGGACTCTTTAAAGTAGAGACACTACATACTGATATGAAACCTGGAAATGAGAATAAAAGGGCTTCTTTAATAAAGAAAAACAAATAAGTCCACATCATGAAACAGAAATAATGGTAGCAGTAGCTAAAGTAAGTGAATATATAAAGTAAGGAGGTAGCAGCGTGTGTAAGAATAAAAAGTGTACATTGCACAGAGCACAGTAATGTCTTCAACAGAGTGTCAGTAATACCAAAACATAAACTGTATGAAACGTAAATAATGTGCTGGATATATTTCACAGAAGTGTTATTGCGCAGCAGTGTGTCTACCAGATTGTGTGTGTGTGTGTGAGATCCAAGCATTGCCGTTGCGGTTGAATATCAAACATCTGTGTATGGCGCTGTGCATATTGGAAACTAAACGGAAGCAAACATGACATATTTTCCTCTTCCTCATAACGTTTTCACACTCTGTTCCTTCTGATTCCCATAAATCATCTCCTCAATGTCTTTGGCCCATTGTTACCCCACTGACGGTTAGCACTTGAGGAATTCCCAGCAAAAAGCATGAGTGGTGAGGGCCTGTTTTTTGTCAGGTATGTCGCAATACTAGAACAATTATTGTGTAGAAGTTAAAATACACCTATTAACCATAGTCATACTAGCTTCTGTTACGAAGTTAAACGAGTCTTAATTACCTCTCGAATATCCATTTTATTATGCGTTTGAAAACGTCTGTATTTATTTAAAGGGGACCTATCATGCAAAATGCACTTTTGTACGTCTTTTATACATGAATATGTGTCCCCGGTGTTCCAGGGAACTCACCAAGTGTCAGAAAACACAACCCTCTCTATTTTCCTCCATACCCAAATCTCTAAAAAAGGGGCTGCAACGGATCTGATAAAAACTGATCCAGATTTGAACACTGTCCTGACGTCAGGACTGTGGCGCTACGGCTATTGGGCCAACTCCACCAATCAGGAGGAGACAGCCACGGCCATTGCCGTTCGAAAGCGCTGGAGACGCTGTAGTACATATGCCAGGCCTGTAGGTGGTGCTGTTCTCACAGAATCAGCCCTTGCAAAAACAGAGCTAGAAATTGTCAAATTGAGCGAAATGAGGCATGGCTAAAATGCATGATCTGTTTGGTATTTTGAAAAAAAAAAAAGTATAAATATATGCCTTATATAGGTATGGTCCTACACTATATTATTCAAATATAGCATGATAGGTCCACTTTAAGTTTCACACCAAAACCAATCTTTTAAAAGCCCATATTTGAACACATTCTTTTACAGTTTCCTGCGTAATAAAGACAGAAACAACATGCCACTTTCTCTAAATGTTGGCATTGACTCGGTTCCAAAAGTATTGTTTCTCGTGACATCCCTATTATTATATTGCACACATTAGCAAATGTCAACTGGATGGTTGATGGCTGCCGTGATTACAATGGCTTCGTGCGTCATGCCTGGTGTGAATTAATTAATATGGAAATGAAGAGCTTGTCACTTTTTATGGGTTATGAGGAAGCGTTCTGTAAATGAGTTTGTTTTGAGTCGTCGTCAGTCTTGCCCATTTATCAAGCTGTTGGCTGTACATTTTATTTCCTTATCTGGCACGTCCTTGCATCTCCACAACTCATAACTTTCTAACTCATAAACAGACTGTAGAAACACAAAAAGTGTGTGTGTGTGTCCTGGAAGAGTGTGTGTGTGTCCTGGAAGAGTGTGTGTCCTGGAAGAGTGTGTGTGTGTCCTGGAAGAGTGTGTGTCCTGGAAGAGTGTGTGTGTGTCCTGGAAGAGTGTGTGTGTGTGTCCTGGAAGAGTGTGTGTGTGTGTCCTGGAAGAGTGTGTGTGTGTGTCCTGGAAGAGTGTGTGTGTGTCCTGGAAGAGTGTGTGTGTGTGTGTCCTGGAAGAGTGTGTGTGTGTGTGTCCTGGGAAGAGTGTGTGTGTGTGTCCTGGAAGAGTGTGTGTGTGTGTCCTGGAGAGAGTGTGTGTGTGTGTCCTGGAAGAGTGTGTGTGTGTGTGTCCTGGAAGAGTGTGTGTGTGTGTGTCCTGGAAGAGTGTGTGTGTGTCCTGGAAGAGTGTGTGTGTGTGTCCTGGAAGAGTGTGTGTGTGTGTGTCCTGGAAGAGTGTGTGTGTCCTGGAAGAGTGTGTGTGTGTGTGTCCTGGAAGAGTGTGTGTGTGTGTGTCCTGGAAGAGTGTGGGTGTGTGTGTGTGTCCTGGAAGAGTGTGTGTGTGTGTGTGTGTGTGTGTGTCCTGGAAGAGTGTGTGTGTGTGTCCTGGAAGAGTGTGTGTGTGTGTCCTGGAAGAGTGTGTGTGTGTGTGTCCTGGAAGAGTGTGTGTGTGTGTCCTGGAAGAGTGTGTGTGTGTGTGTCCTGGAAGAGTGTGTGTGTGTGTGTGTCCTGGAAGAGTGTGTGTGTGTCCTGGAAGAGTGTGTGTGTGTGTGTCCTGGAAGAGTGTGTGTGTGTCCTGGAAGAGTGTGTGTGTGTCCTGGAAGTGTGTGTGTGTGTCCTGGAAGTGTGTGTGTGTGTTCCCTGGAAGTGTGTGTGTGTGTTCCCTGGAAGAGTGTGTGTGTGTGTGTGTGTGTGTTCCCTGGAAGAGTCATGTTGAGAACGTTCCTAAGAAACTATAGGGGAGTGAGGAAAACATTGGAGTGCATATAGAGAGTAAAGTCTGTCCAGCACAGCTTCTCTCCACTCGGTTGTATTCGGAAACATGGTTTAAAGTAGATTAGAGCTTTATATTGACTTGCTGTGAAAGCTTTAGCGAGTACATATCACATTTTCTCTAACCCTAAACCCTAGAAAAACAAGAATTGCAACACCATGAGTTTGCTTTGTGAAGAAGGGATTGGCTAAGAGGGAGTACTGCATGACTGTTTTCTGAAGACGTCAGCAGCAAGTTTGCACAAATCCTCTCTGTGTTCATATTTAATTATTGGAGGGTTGCTCAAGGAATTTGTTACTTTAAAGGCACTAAACCCTTAGATGTTATGCTTTTGGGGAGGTTTTCCCCCTCTCCTGTAGTGTGTTTATATAGGTTTGTGTGCATGTAAATGGTCTGCAAAGGCTACTATCCCAAAGTAAGAGGGACTGTATCTCCCACACACTCTCACCCCTGCCTGAAACACCTCTTTTGGACTATTATGCTTTTTGGGGTTTTCCCTCTCCTGTAGTGTGTTTATATAGGTTTGTGTGCCTGTTAATGGTCTGCAGGGGAACAAGATAATAACACAGCCTAGTCCGAGTTGGTATGTCTCATTTCATATTGTGTAAAAGGGGACCTATCATGCAAAATGCACGTTTTGATGTCTTTAATACATAAAGATGTGTCCCCGGTGCGTCGGGGAACTCACGCAGCGTCAGAAAACAAAACTCTCTTTTCCTCCGTACCCACATCTCTAAAAACGGGGGTACAACGGAGCTGACCCAGATTTGCGTCCGATATGACGTAATATCTGAAATGTGGGCTGGCTTTACACCCACGGCCCTATCAGAAACGTCGCTATCAGAAACAATGCGCGATGTGTTTTGGACGTAATATGGTCTTTGTTTACATTAGCATCCATCGCTAACACTCAGAGCTAACGCTGTACTGGAGAGAGCATGTGTAGGAAAAAAAAAGCAGGAAATAAAAAAAGGAACTTTGCAAAAAGCATTTGAGCTCCATACTGTTTCAGAAATAATCCTTGATGTGGTTTGGAATATGATATGGCAACTGAGTATCTCGTAGAATTCTGAGCAGGCATTAGCTCCCCCTCTTTTCTTTTCAAGCTAAGGACCCCGAATCTGCAGGCCTGAAATATAGGGATATGAGGGATGTCTGAAATGCATGATCTGTTTGATATTTTGAGCAAAACACATCATAGACATGTTTTTTTTATATATTTGTATATATCTGAGACTCATAATATATGCCTAAAAATAGCATAACAGGAGACCTTTGTGCTGTAAAAAATGCAAAACCACTATTCTAGCCTCCAGCTCAAAGTGTTTAGTGTTGAAATGACTGAAGGTATTAGAAAAAGTTCACATTCCCACTCACAGAACAACTGAAAGATGTGCTTGTCCACACGTCAGACTGGTAACTGAAGATAGGAAATAATGTGAGGGGAGGTTCATCCTTCATTTCTCCTCCCGTCACCCCCCCCCCCCTCCTCCCCTCCTCCTCTCTGCAGCTCTGGCTGTCGGCCAGCACTTGTAATGCTGTCTCTGTGTTGGATGCGCATACATAAGTCTTTTGTTTATCAAGTTTTATGAGCACAGTAGGGCTGCAGCTAACGAATATTTTCATTGCCAATCTATTGCCTAGTGTTTGTTCTATGCGATGGAATAATCAGTCCATAAAACTTCTGAAAAACCACTTTCCCAGAGTCCAAGGTGACTTTTTCAAACGTGTTGTTTTGACCAACTTAAATGTCATCATCAAATGTTTATTTGTTTAGCTAAATTGCTTCAGTACTGTATATACAACAGACCTTCGTGGTATGGGTATAGCCTTTTGTAATACAAGAAAAACTGCAGTCATATTTTAAAGCATTCTAACATATTTAAATAGTACTGTAAACATTGTGATTTTTTTGTTGCTGTTCTCCTTATAATAATCACTAAACAAGAGATACTTAATGTTCTCAATGTGTGTGTTTCAGGAGTGTGGTTCCCCCTCGCTGAAGACGGCGTGTTTTCCTAAAGCACCTTTCCACCCCGGACCCTCTGTGTTACCACTGCACCTATGAGGTAACGTCAGGAACCAAAACCCCCTCCCCATTACCACCCTCAATCCACCCCCCGTCCCCCTCTCCCCCGTGTCCCTCAAACCCCCTCCTCCCAGCCATGGGACAGAAGATCTCTGGCAGTATAAAGTCAGTGGATGTTCGCGGGGAGCCCTCGTATCGCCCGGTACGTCGAGAACTTCGGGGTCCGGACTTCTGTCGGCCCCCGCGACTCGACTTACTTCTCGACATGCCGCCGGCCAGCCTGGAAACGCAACTCCATCACTCCTGGAATCCGGACGACCGGTCGCTCAACGTCTTCGTGAAGGAGGACGACAAGCTGACGTTTCACCGGCACCCCGTGGCTCAGAGCACAGACTGTATCCGGGGGAAAGTGGGTTACACTCGGGGGCTTCACGTCTGGAGGATCCACTGGCCGTGCAGACAGAGAGGGACGCACGCGGTTGTGGGCGTGGCCTCCGCTGAAGCGTCGCTACACTCGGTGGGCTACACGGCGCTGGTGGGAGCGGACTCTGAGTCCTGGGGCTGGGACCTGGGCAGAAACAGACTCTACCACGACGGGAAGAACCGCCCCGCTTCCACGCCGGCGCCAACGTACCCGTGCTTCCTGGAGCCCGACGAGTCCTTCGTGCTTCCCGACTCGCTGACGGTGGTACTGGATATGGACGAGGGAACGCTGAGCTTCATGGTGGACGGACAGTATCTGGGAGTAGCGTTCAGAGGACTTAAAGGAAAGAGACTGTATCCGATCGTCAGCGCGGTGTGGGGGCACTGTGAAGTTACGACTCGCTACGTCAACGGACTAGATCGTAAGTTGAAATACACACACACTGACATACTCACACACACTGACATACACACACACACTGACATACACACACACACTGACACGTACACACACAGGTTATTGACAGTATGTCAAGCCTTTACAGTTTTTGTATTTCTGCAGATATTTTTCTTCCATTTTCACTTCATAAAACCTTTTTTGGGTTCTCATGGCAGTTGAAGGGTAAGCAGAATTAAGCTTTCAGTTTTATATAGAACTGAAATCACTTATTTGACATCAAAACACACACACAGAAAGACACACACACACACACACTGACACGTACACACACAGGTTATTGACAGTGTATGAGTCAAGCTTTTAGGGATTTTGTATTAGTACAGATAATTTTCCATTTTCACTTTCTTAAAATGTTTGGTTTCACATTGCAGTTTAAAGGTAGGCAGAATTAAGTTTTCAGTTTCATGTATAATAACTTATTTTACATCAACACACACACACACACACACACACGACAGTATATGAGTCAAGCTTTTAGGGATTTTGTCTCAGTGCAGATATGTTTCTTCCATTTTCACTTTCTTAAACTTTTTGGGTTCACATGGCAGTTTAAAGGTAGGCAGAATAAACAGCATTCAGTTTTATGTATAACTGTAATAACTTATCTTACATCAAATCCCTAGAATTCAAAGCATCCTATAAACCCAGTATGAAGTATATATTTGTGTCACTGCAGAGATGTGTAGAGGTGGATGTGGAAGGCAGTGTTTCACAATGCAAAGATGTTTTTTTAATGTGTAAACCTCCACATATGCTTATATTTAGATTGTCTCATCAAATATGTAAAGGCCCAAGGCGATATTACGTGCTACATCAAAGTCCAGGAACAAATCCCAGTGTAGGACGAGAGGGGGAGATTCAGGAAACATGATTCTAGGAAAGTCTTCGGTTATGAGCAGTTACTGGTCATGTGTCTGGATTTATGACAAATGTGTTTTAGATGGAGAGAGGATACTGCTGAGTCACTCTGTCAGCCTACACTAAACTCTTTACCCTCCCGAGGAATCATTCAAACTGAAACCAAAGGCTTACCTCGTTAATGTGTGAAATACGGGGAGAACCGGTGTGGCTAATTTCTAAATACTAATTCCTGATTTTGGCTCTCTAGACATGTTCAGGATTTAGAGTGTAATGCAAGACTGAACAGGCTTTACTTGCAAATGTGTCACATCAGCGAGGATGGATGAGCAGTGCACATTTCTGTATGCACTGATCTAAAAACAGCCTGCAATGAAAGGGACTGATGCTTTGTTTACCAACAGGAAGCAGCTTAAATATCATCCGTGCGTACTATTTCTACTCTGCAGCTTTCTAGCACTCTCATGTCCTCAGACTTCCTCAAAAACTTTCACAGAAACCTTGAATTAATGGGAATATCTGTTTCACCACTGCCCAGAAGTCACCATTATGATCAGCGTGTGTGTGTGCGTGGGGTTGTTTTCCCTGATACTCTCTTCTGGTAAATGTCACTGCTCACAGTAAACGAGTCATCTCCATTAAGTCTTCCCCTCAGATTGTGTAACGTCTCTGTCGTCCCTCCCGCTCCAGCCTTCTTGTTGCACAAAGAGCCAAAGTGGGGTGGGGGCGTCGCCGATATCGGTGCACGGACACCATGTCCATGGCCGCGAGCCATGTGTGTCTAAGTCTGTATGTGTGTGTGTGTGTGTGTGTGTGTCTGTATGTGTGTGTGTCAGTAGAGTGGGGATCCTGGAAGATGTCCCAGTGTGCCTCTGAGCTCAGCGTCTGGCCCTCCATAGTGGGAAACATTGTGCTAGGTGTAGAATGATGTAGAATTGGGGGATGTAGAATTGGGGCTGCACGATTTGAAAACTGTTGTTATTATTTCAACTGGTATTGCCAAATGATTCAGGATTTTGGAGGGTTGGTTATTTTGTCATCATAATTTAAATCATCATTTTTTTAACAGGAACTGCAGCAAACAAATATATGTTATTAAGTCCGTAGATTATCATTTGTATCCTGGGATATCTCTGCAGCTCCAATATCCTTGAATCAGAATACTATTTTTGCGATTTGGCGATTGCACTGACTATCCTATATAACAATGGCCATTAAATGCCAATTTAATGTGCAGTCCTATGTAGAATGACCCGTAATCAGGCCAAATGAAAATATGCTTCCGTACAAAATCTGCTATCCACTTGGAAGATAATAATTCTCACCTGAGGTCATTCCTGTCTTGGTATTGTAAGAAATACTGTAGCTATTGTAAAAACAAATGCCCTTAAAGTACCAATATTTAGGAGGTACCTGCATTTAAATATCATAAAAATGTCCTACTTAAAAGCATAAAGTAATATTTGTTGTATATATACTGAATGAAACATTTAATTTGAATATTTTTTACTAGTGCTGATCATTTTGAGAAACTGTTGTTGTAGTTGTTTGAATCCTGTGTCGACCACGAGTTGGTAACCTAATGTTTAAATGTCGTTGAATATTAGGTTGTATTGTTCTTACTTTACCTGGCATGTGGTTATAAAGAATACTCTCCGTGTCAGAAGTTGTTTGCTTAAAGGGTAACTCAATTATTTTATATCAAAGTTTGTTTCCTGGTCATGAGGTGTACATCTGCATATGTGAAAGAAATATATATATCCTTGTGTGGCGCCAGGGGAAGCTTTGTGAAGTCTGATAAAGTGCCTCGAGTAATGTCACTTAGAAAAGAAGTGTTTACCAGGAAAAAATGTGCTGAAATGCTTGATTGAACTGGCTGTTTGAGTTGCATTGTGAGTCTTTTAATTGGCAGGTTTTGACAAGGAAGAAAAGTGTGTGGGATAAAAAGATATGTCCTGTTCGGCTGTAATTAATTTGATTTGTGATAATTGCTCATAGCTATTTTTAGCCTTTGTTCCCATTGATGCTAGAGATAGAACTGGTTGCCTTCAGTACAAAAAGAAATACTGGTTAATAACTTAATGTATATCTGACACTCAAGCCACTAGAGACTATAACAGAATGATTTGTTAAAAATAAGTGGTGGAAGTTATTTTATCTAGTATTGCAATTCCGATTTGGTTTGCGATCAAATGGAGAATGATCATTTTTGAAACATGAATCACATTATCATGGAAAATATATTACAATGATCTTTTTATTGAGGATCTGTAAAAGCCACCAAACATGGATTTTTGTTGTATTAAAGGTCACCTATAATGTTATTTGTAGGCAATAGCATAGGTCTCAGATATATAAAAATATATAAAAAACATGTCTATGAAGTGTTTTGCTCAAAATACCAAACAGATCACCCATTCTAGCCATGCCTCATATCCCTCTGTTTCACTTCCTGTTTCAAAAGTGCTGATTTTGGGTATAAATAAAAATTGATTAAAATAAAAAAGGAGGGGGCTGAGCTCATGCGGGACCCGGCAGCTACTGTCTAAACTAAATACTGCCGTGATGAAACGCCATATCATGGATTATCAAGGATTGTTTCTGAAACAGTATGGAGCTCAAAGGCTTTCTCTCTTGCCGGTTATACCACAAGGTGAGTTCCTTTTTATTTCCTGCTTCTTCACACACATGCTCTCCAGTACAGGTTAGCTCTGAGTGTTAGCGATGCTAATGTAAACACCGACCATATTACGTCCAAAACAGGGCATTGTTTCTGATAGCAACATTTCTGATAGGGCCGTGGGTCCACATTTCAGATATTACGTTATATCGGACGCAAATCTGGATCAGCTCCGTTGTACCCCCGTTTTTAGAGATTTGGGTACGGAGGAAAAGAGAGAGAGGGTTTTATTTGCTGACGCTGCGCGAGTTCCCTGACACACCGGGGACACATGTTTATGTATAAAAGACATTAAAAAGTGCATTTTGCATGATAGGTCCCCTTTAAGTTAGTAGAAGTGCATTTGAGGTCGGGCACTTTTCTGCAGCAGCACTTCATTCAGATATTTCCACATTTAGCCTTTATAAAATAGTACGCTTACTACGATTTGGATATTGCACATAGCCATTTTGATACATTTTAGATGAATTGTTCAGCCCTACTAGAGGTTATTTACTATATGGAGAAAAGGTGTCCATCACTTTTTATCCTCTTGTGCATTGATAGAGATTTACACTCTCATGGTTCTTTGCCAAACAGCTAACGTTGCTCAGCTATAAACCCAAACTGGCATCAATCACTCGTTATTGTTTTGTTTCTTGTCCTCTTGCTTTACTGAAGACCTAAAAGACAATGCACTTCTTATATATCACTCAAATGAGTTTCATATTCTCTGCTACTGCACATCCGTAGCTGCCTATTACAATGTATGCAAGGTGAGTTTGAAAGCCGCTAGTGATCAAAGAGCTTGTGTTCTTACAGATCAGATATCAGATATCAGGCATACGGCACATCCCTACCTTGTGATATAGAGAGGAAAGGGAGCATTAATATGTATGCTAGGCGATTGCTCTTCCTCCTATTCCCACTTCTTGCTTTTATTCATCCTATAGCAACTTGGAGATGATTCACTTTTTGCTCACTTTCCAGCATCTCACCTGTCTTGTAGTGAATTCACATTCCTTTGTTCCCTCCTGCTTTTATTCCCTGGGAAGCCAGAAGAGATAAGTGTCCTTATTCTTTCCGCTCCAGTCTGAATTGTCCTTTTAAAACCCTGCATTAACACCGTTTTCTCATCCTTCCTTTCAGCGAACACTTTAGTCCTTTCGCACCTCTGTCCCAGAGACACTTAAAAAGCGTACCCGACTGAGACTGGATTTTTATCGGTCTGTCATACTTTCTAATGTCTCTTAAAGGGGACCTAGTATGCAAAATCCACTTGTTCATGTATTTTATTCACAAACACGTGTCCCCTCTTCTTCATGTCTCTTCTACATCAACATGTGTCCCCTCTTCTTCATGTCTCTTCTACATCAACATGTGTCCCCTCTTCTTCATGTCTCTTCTACATCAACATGTGTCCCCTCTTCTTCATGTCTCTTCCA